TACGAAGGTGCACTTAAGACTGTATGGCGTGTATTTAATTTGTACTTCATTCTGACAGCCCCGTTGTAATTGATGATGACAGTTCGGTTTCACCGCTCTGCAAATACCGGCCTATTTTGAAGTTCTATACCAAAAATGGCATCTACTTTTCAAGACTTTTCTAGTGATATACATAACTTTTTGATCCAACCTGCCGTTCAAAATATCAATTTTTGACGTCAAAATCGGCCATAGTGGAATTTTGTATGTATACGTTTTGCCTTCATTTTTATGAAGAGATCAACATTGCAATCTCGATTTTATTGAGAAAATTCCAAAAAACTTGCTGTTGTCTTTCGTATTTCGAATTTTTATGACTTTTATCACATTTCAAAGTAATTTTCATACTTTTCCGAATACTTTGACTTAGCGTATTCCATCCGTATGCTTTGCATGCGCTTCACGCTAAAAATATGCCTTAAATATACCTTCGACTCTGTATTAAACTACGTATAAAATAAGCGTAAGCGTGAAAATGGTATAAACGTAGCGTGCGCAGGGAATACACGCGTAATATTTGTAGCGTAGTTTTTTTATTGAGTGGTTCTGGGTTATACGATGCTCGAGAGCAAGTAATGCCGTGATACCTTTTAACCAAGATTAAAGGTCAAATAACTAATGCAAGTTGCACACATCAGTTTTATTCATTTTGGTGATTTATCTGGTTGGTTTCACTGACTTTGCGTGTTAGGCCGAAGAACAACTGGGTAAATTTAAAAAAAATATCTACGTTTGTTCTACCACTTTCGCGGCAAATCGAAGGAAAACAAGCATTTAAATCGCTTAATTACGTCGAGAATTTTTGATTTATCTGGTTGGATCCACTTTGTGTGATAAACCTACGGTCAAAAGATAGATGAAATTTCGAATGACATGTTTGAGGTTGCGGGTGATGAGTCAGGCGGCGTTGGTATCGTTTTAAGGAAAAACACATATCAAAACGATATCAACGCCGCCTAGCTCATCACCCGCAACCTCAAACATGTCATTCGAAATTTCATCTGTCGTTTGGCTGTGGATAAACCCAAGAACAAACGGGTAAATTTATGCATTTTTTTAAAAAAAATTCATTGTACGATTACTCATAATGTCTTGAAATTGTCGAATTGTTCCCAACTATTTATAATTGTTATTCATAAATAAAACTTTTTTGAATGTTACGCCGAATTTCTACTTTTTTCATTTCAAGAGAGGAAACTTAAACGATTTTCACAACGAATTCGCCTTTTTTGTTCCTAGAACGAAACACATCTCAGAAAATATTATACGAAAAATTAATGTAATTTTCAAAAATATTCTATAATGAAAATTTGATTGACGCTTTGAGATATTGTGCACTAATTTGTCGTTAGTGCACCTGTTTTAAATTAAATAAAAAATATGAGCATAAAATTCAAATTCACCATAATTTGTTTCATCACTCGAAAATTCTTAAGAAAAAAAATGAGCAGATTAGTAGCTCTACATTTCATGTAGTGCTAAAAAACATTCGGTTATGATTATATATATGTATATCAGACACAGGAATGTAGTTTTGTAATTGATGGTGTTCACCTACACAAATTGCATTTTATTGAAATCATTTCTCTTCCTATGGAATATGCTATTATTAAATTGCATGATTGATGGATCTCGTGGTAATGACGCTTCGGAATCAATGTCAAGTTCAAATTGTACTCATTGCATTCAATGAGACAATAAATTGCACAGTTTTGCCCAGTCGCATGCAGTTTTGTTCCAACATTTGGCACTGTGATATCTGAAAGTCAATTCAATCCAGTATAGTGAATTGTGATCGATTTTGAAACAACGCTCTTAACAAAATTAGTTTATCAAAACTTTTGACAAAATTATTTTAGTTGACGAAATTTGCATTTATATTTTGAGCAAATAGCTTAAAAGGAATCAATTCAATCCATTACATGCGTTGGAAAAGAAACCTTTATCTCTATCAAATAAATACGGATATAAATAGTTGCATAGCTGAACATGGCTGAATCAGATTTGACGGAGATTCCAACTGAAGTTGTTCGCACAGCACTCTGTGAAACCATCGAAACGAAATTAAAATCGAAAAATTATAAAATAACCATAACCTCTGCATCAAAAGCGGGCGAAAGTAATTTCATTGGCATCGTTCATCGTGTAACATTCAACAAAGAGGGTGAAGACAAACTAGAAAAGTTGATTCTTAAAGTCGCACCGCTACATCTAGCTCGTCGAACTCAGTTCAATTCTCGCCCGTTATTTTTGCAGGAGATTAGCACGTACAACGAGGTAAATTTAGAAAAATTGAAAATTCAAATCTAGAATAAGTGGAACTTGTGCAAAAAAGGACTAATATTACGAATGTGCAAATAGATCTTGCCATTTTTTCGACAGTTTGAGATGTCAAAGGGTGTAGCAATCGAAGAGAATGGCTTTGTTGAATATCCAAAATGTTATCGAACTATTGACGAGGAGCCAAATGAATGTCTTTTCCTTGAGGACCTTAGTGTTCGAGGTTTCGCTATCATCGATCGATACACCCAAGAGGTGACCACTGACCACGTATACTTGTTCATGAAAGCGTTGGGCAAGTTACATGCTATTTCATTCGCATTGAAAGATCAACAGCCAGAGAAATTCAAGGAACTTGCATCGAGTTTAAAAGAGATGTTTTTGCGTGCAAACGAAGAATTTATTGGAGAATTCTTTGACAAACAAGCTGAGAGCATATTCAAAGTGTTGGAAAATGCAGAAGATGCACATTTATTGGCGAAAATGAAGAAAGTTTTCGAAAATGGGGCAATGAATGTCGCTCTTGAATGTCTTGATTTAGATGGTACCGATCCGGGTTCGGTGATTTCTCATGGAGACTCGTGGCAAAATAATTTAATGTTTCGTTATGACAAAAATGGAAAACCAATTGAAATAAGCCTCTTGGATTGGCAAATATCACGCTATTCGTCGCCAATCATTGACATTGTTTACTTTATGTTTTGTTGCACAACGAAAGAGCTTCGAGACGATCATTACGATGACTTCCTGAAAGTTTATCACGAAAGCTTATCGGCGCACATTCGAAGGTACGTGCGGTATATTTGATTAAAAGTCACTCACCACTTTTGAAACACGCGATTAGAATCAATAGCTATAATAATCAATTAATTGAAATAATTTTAGATTGGGCTCTGATCCGGAAAAGTTGTTCCCATTTGCAGTGATGCTGGAGCATTTCCGCAAATACGCAAAATTTGGATTGGTTCTATCGACAGTATTGCTTCCAATGATAACAACAGACCGAGGAAATGGATTGGATCTCGATGAACTCGCTGTCAAATTTGAAAAGAACAAAGAGAACAATTTCGAAAACAAAGAAGATTTGGATGCATTTAATTCGTTCATTTCAGACAATTCGCGTAATAAATTCAACAAACGTTTGAGAGATGTTGTTGGCGACATGGCGCGATTAGGATATGTCTGAATGTTTGAAACAACAACAGAAAAATTATTTAAAAATGTATCGATAAGACAAAACATCATTAATGCTTTGCACGTTAGACGCGTTTAGACAACAAACAATTCAATTAAATTGCAATCGAAAAAAACGTTGATTAGAAGTTCTGTTGTAGTTATTCAACCGATTATGTTCAATTATTATTTGTTTAGCAAATGTTGGCGTTGGCCGGAACAAATTGAAATCAAATACTGGTTCGGAGATAGAAATATGTAAGATAAATATGCCAAGCATAGACGCGTACGTACGGACGACCGTGCGACGAACGTATCGAATCACAATGCACGATCTCCTGTGTATTGAGAGACGCACGCGTAAGTGTGAGTATGAATATAGTACACAGCGAACAACGATTGCTCTGTTGATACGTTCGTCGTATGGTCGCGTCCGTACGCCTCTATGTTTTGCATATTTATACAGTATAAAACATCTAGGTAAACATATTTCTATCTCCGAACCAGTGCTTGATTGAAATTTATTAAAATCATTCGCTTGACATGGAATGCTATTATTTATTCAAGTGACATGATTGATGGGACGGGTGGTAATGACGTTTTGCAACTGCAATGCCAAGTTCAAGCAGCACTCATGGACTGCACAAATAAATAGCATAGATTTGTCTGGTTGCATGTAGTTTTATATCAGCATTCATTGGTTGCTCTTATGGTATCTAAAGTTTAGTTTAGTTCACTTTATCTACAGAGTTAGTTGTGATTTATCATTTTAAAAGACGATTCAAGATAACGATACAAACAAACAATTTTATCTTAAATCACTAAAACTATTTAGGTATAATAGTATTCACCTACTTCAATTGATTAAATGAAAATCCGCGTAGTTGTTACGATAAAATTGATCGTAATTAACCAGATTTGCGCAGTGTTTTAGTAACTTTTCGACGGACTAAAACAAAGTGAAGCTTTTGAGAAGAGAAACTAATTTTCTAATAATCGAATTAAACTCATTTGATTTCATCGCTTAAAACATTGTTCAAAGAAAATATTTCGCAAAAAAAAGTTGAAATAAAATTTACAAAATAAAAAATGGCTGAATCAGATTTATCAGACATTCCAACCGATGCAATTCGCGCAGCCCTCCATGAAACCATCGAAAAGAAATTAAAGTCGAAAAATTATAAAACTGTTGTGAGTTCTGCGTCAAAGGCCGGGGAAAGTAACTTTGTTGGCATCGTTCACCGAGTATCATTTAACAAAAATGATGAAGAAAAACAGGAAAAGTTGATTCTTAAAGTCGCACCGCAGAATGAGACACGTCGAGATCAATTCAATTCTCGGGCGTTATTTTTGCAGGAAATCAACATGTACGACAAGGTAAATACAATAAATTTAACTTGAACTGAAAACTAGGCTGAAAATTGTTAACGAACTAATAAGCTCAATTGCACACAGATCTTGCCGTTTCTTAAAGAGTTTGAACAATCGAAGGGTGTTGTTATTGAAGAAGATGGTTTTGTTGAATATCCAAAGTGTTATCGAACTATTGACGAGGCGCCAAGTGAAAGTCTCTTTCTTGAAGATCTAAGCGTTCGAGATTTCGCTATAATTGATCGATACACCCAAGAAGTTACCGCTGATCACGTATACTTGTTCATGAAAGCGTTGGGCAAGTTACACGCTATTTCATTCGCATTGAAAGATCAACAGCCAGAGAAATTCAAGGAACTTGCATCGAGTTTAAAAGAGATGTTTTTGCGTGCAAACGAAGAATTTATCGGAGAATTCTTTGATAATCAAGCTGAGAGCATATTCAAAGTGTTGGATAACGCAGAAGATGCACATTTATTGGCGAAAATGAAGAAAGTCTTTGAAAATGGTGCATTTAAAACTGCTCTTGAATGTCTTGATTTAGATGGTACCGATCCGGGTTCGGTGATTTCTCATGGAGACTCGTGGCAGAATAATTTGATGTTTCGATATGATGAAAATGGAAAACCAATTGAAATCTGCCTCTTGGATTTGCAGGTATCACGCTATTCGTCGCCAATCATTGATATTGTTTACTTTATATTTTGTTGCACTACAAAAGAACTTCGAGACGCGCATTACGATGACTTCCTGAAAGCTTATCATGAAAGCTTATCGGCGCACATTCGAAGGTATGTGCGGCACTTTTGATTAAAAGTCACTCACTTCTTTTAAAACACGTGATAAGGAAGACTGATAAGAAACAATAGCTATAATAATCAATTAATTGAAATAATTTTAGATTGGGCTCTGATCCGGAAAAATTGTTCCCATTTGCAGTGATGCTAGAGCATTTCCGCAAATACGCAAAATTTGGATTGGTTCTATCGACAGTACTGCTTCCAATGATAACAACAGACCGAGGAAATGGATTGGATCTCGATGAACTCGCTGTCAAATTTGAAAAGAACAAAGAGAACAATTTCGAAAACAAAGAAGATTTGGATGCATTTAATTCGTTCATTTCAGACAATTCACGAATTAAATTCAACAAACGTTTGAGAGATGTTGTTATCGATATGGTTCGATTGGGATATGTCTGAATGTTTGAAGCAACAATGAAATATTCACACAGTATCAATACGATGAGATGACTAAAAAAATTAAAATCATCATTATTTATGTACACAAGAGTTTATACATACAATTCAAATAAATGTAATCGAAAAAAAAATGTTGACTTGAATTTTGTCATTCTTACTCATGGTTGCTTCAGAAATCGTCCGGAAAAATCAAAAAATCGTCCAAAAAATATTATAAAAAATCCGAAATTTTTGGCCGATTTTCTCTTTTTTTTGGGCTGTTTCGAAGAAAATATTATAAAAACGTCCAAATCTGTTTTCGTCTCCTATTCTGAAATTCAAATTTTGTCGAAAATATTTTAAAATTCGTCCAAAATATTGAGAAAATCTCCCAAAATTCTTCAAAAAATGAATTTGGATTCATGACAAAAGCCTACCTTTTCTTTACAGAGTGACTTTCAAAACAAATTTTAAATAGAAAGGATTGTATGGTTTTGATTTGATTTTTTTCAAAATTTATTTCCGTAGTTCAATTGAAATAAATTGTGCAAATAAATTTACAACACAAAACACAGAAAATTTGCAATTGATTTTAATTAAATATCACTGTTTTAATGATAAATACCTCAATTTGTAGATAATTGCATTTGCTTCCGATCCCGCCTGACGGATTTTTGATATTTGATCTGCTTTCATTGTCACAAACATTGAAATGACTTCAAGATTTTATATGTGGAACTTTTCTAGGGGCAATTTGCTATTCGAAAATGTTTACTTAATTCGGCACAAAAAGGTGAATTAATTATCATTTGTGATCACGTTATTCTTTGCAACAATGTATCGATACTCGTGTTAAAAGAGAAAAAATGTTATTTCGTTTTTTGCGTGTTGATTCTTGTTAAATGGTCAAACACAATATTTATGACAGAATTATCGATGTTTTTAATGGTTATTTGCCTATATACTTCAGTTTTATCTTCAGTTATATAATACTCTCTGAGTTCCATTACATGGAATGATACGTGTGATGGCATATTTTCACACGGAACTTCGTTCCCAGTGCGCCGAGCACTTGCTATATATAGAGCGAACGTATCCGAATATTAGAAACCAGACGTTATTATATGTAGCAAGTGGTCGGCGCACTGGGAACGAAGTTACGTGTAAAAATATGCCGTCACACGTATCATTCCATGTGATGGAACTCAGAGAGTAATGATACATTCTGTATTCCAACTAAAATTATACGTAATTCTTTTTAGATGAAGCTCCATCAGTCAGCTGAATTATCACTTGGTATTGATTTTCTCTTTTATACGTTTACTACTTTGTCCAGCCACTGCTGATACCATACTTTTTTTGCAATTGCTAATACCATACTTGGAATTTAATTTGGATGTCTGTACAATTCGAGTCGTAGTTGATAACTTTAAAGAGAACCAAAAATAAGATAAGATAAAATGAGATAATTTCATCGGGAAGAACTTGAACTCTTGGTTTATTGAATTATTCACGGTTATCAGGATAAAATTGATCGTAACTATTCAGTTTCGCACAGTGTTCAAGTATTTTTGATATAGTCAGTCAGCAGTATTGATTTGTTAATTTTTTACGAAAACCGAATTCTTTTAAATTGAAATTGATTCAAATATGGCGCAATCAGATTTTTCGGATATTCCAACCGATGTGATTGGTGCAGCTCTCTGTGAAACCATCGGAAAGAAATTGAAATCAAAAAATTATGAAATTGTTTTGAGTTCTGCGTCAACAGCCGGCGAGAGTAATTTTTTGGCATTATTCATCGTGTTACTCTCAACGAAGAGGGTGAAGGCAAACAAGAAAATTTGATTCTTAAATTCGCACCACAAACTGAAGCTCGTCGAAATCAGTTTTCTTCTCGACCATTATTTTTGCGGGAGATCAACGTGTACGATAAGGTAAATAATTTAATAACTACGCCGGAAATGATTATAATCTTTAATTAAAGAACTAATACCTTGAATACGATCGATTGCAAATAGATCTTGCCGTTTCTTAGAGAGTTTGAACAATCAAGAGGTATTGTGATTGCGGAGAATGGTTTTATTGAATATCCAAAGTGTTATCGAACTGTTGACATGGAGCAAAATGAAAATCTCTTTCTTAAAGATCTAAGCGTTCAAGACTTTGTTATAATTGATCGATACACCCAAGAAGTTACCGCTGATCACGTATATTTGTTCATGAAAGCGTTGAGTAAATTATTTCATTTGCATTGAGAGATCAACAACCAGAAAAATTCAAAGAATTTGTGTCGAGTCTTAAAGAGATGTTCTTGTAAAGCATTCTTACGATGCTTTTGTAAAAGAATATCTTGACGAACAAGCTGAGGGCATATTCAAAGTGTTGAAAAATGAAAATGATACCCATTTATTGGCGAAAATGAAGAAAGTCTTTGAGAACGGTGCACTTAGTGTTTGGATGGGACCGATCCTGGTTCAGTGATATCACATGGTGATGCCTGACAGGTAATTACAATCAAATACGTGAATATGAAAATAAGAACTAATCTCCAGTGAAAGAGAATAAGACTAATATTCCGAATGTACAAATAGAACAATACCATGTTTCGATGCGATGAAAATGGAAAACCGATTGAAATAAGCCTCTTGGATTGGAAATTAGCACGCTATTCATCGCCAATCATGGAATCAATTATGAAGACAGCAAAGATTTTGACGTATTTGACAGTTTTACATCAGAAAATTCGCGTAATAAATTCAACAAACGTACTAGTATGAGAGATGTTGTTGTCGATATGGCACGACTGGGATATGTCTAAAATATTGATTGTTTGAAAAATATTCCGATATTAGCATGATACATCAAAGAACATCTAAACTGATTTCACTGCGAACAACATCTCTTTTACGCTAACAGCAATTCGTACACGAACGAGTCAGTGTGACAGTTGGCGTGAGCGAGACAAGGTTTGACAGCGAACAATTTGGTCGTGTCAGTTTAAATGTTCTTTTAATATGATAAAATACAAATATATGCAAATGAAGCAGTAAACGAAACCAAATAAATTTATTCTGCCATTCTGAAGGTCATTATTGACCATTGAGTGAACACTATGTGGCACATGCGGTATTATCTCAACCAAACACTGATCACACGTGTAACTACGTTTGAAACGATTTTTCATCATTAGTCAGCACAAAATGTAAACAATTATCTGTGTAATGCTACGTCATAAATATATCAGGCTGAATAAATTTATGTGATAAATACGGTGTGCTAGCTTTGCAGTGAACAGAGTCTGCTTGCATTTACTACCGCCAACTTTACGCAATTAGGTTGATGCGATCGCTATGGAGTAGTAAAGACAAGCTTTATTCAGAGTCTGCAAAATGGGCGCACTACATTTATTGCATAAATATATTCAGCGTGATGTATTCGTGACGTAGCAAAGCCTGGTGGTTTCTCTCTGATGAATGTTCTGAACTCAAACAACTCTTATGTGATTGGAATACAACAAGACAATTCAACAATTTGAATGTTGTGATTTAAAACTCGATCTCGGTCAGAAGAGAAATCATATACGTAATCCGCAACGGGTCAGTGATTTTGGTTGCATGAAACACCATTAAATTGCTTAGTCACCGGCTGAAGATCATGATCTAGTCGACCACCTGCTGTACCTATTTTGGAAGCGAATATATTATTTAATAGATAGTGCGTAGAATCTAATGGCAATAAATAGCAATCATCTGTCAAACTCAATTCAGTTTGGTTTAACTATTCATATCGTATGGTTGTTGATTGAACATTCGTTTAAAAGTAGTTTGGTTCGTTGTAATGGGTGTGTGATAGTAGCTCAATACCTCGGTAGTTTCAGTCACAATTTTAGTTTAGGTGCCAGCATAACAAGTATTCATTCCGATTTTGAGTGAATTCTTTGAATATTAAGAAGAAGAGAAAGATTCTAAATCAAAGCAAAAATTGAAGACAAAAAACCAAAACAATAAAAAAGACCGTAATTTGAATACGCAAGAATAATGGTTGAAATGGATTTATCTGAAATTCCGGGTGATGTAATTCGCGCAGCACTTTGTGAAACGATCGAAAACAAACTAAAGTCGAATAAATACAGCGTCAGTATTACATCAGCATCAACAGCGGGTGAAAATAATTTCGTTGGTGTCGTTTATCGAGTAGCATTCAATAAAAACGATGAAACCGATAAAAATGCTGCGTCGAAATTGATTCTAAAAGTTGCACCTCAAAATGTGGCACGACGTTCACAGTTTATGTCTAGAATTTGCTTCCTACGTGAGATCTACATGTACAATGAGGTAAATTACATCGTTTGAATTAACGAAAATGAAAACGAACCACAAGCCACAAATATGTAAATGTTTATTTTGTACACAGGTGTTACCGTATTTTCGGACGTTTGAAGCATCGAAAGGTGTGATTCTTGAAGAAAACGGCTTTACTGAATACCCAAAATGCTATCGAACCGTTGACAAAGAACCGAGTGAATGTGTTCTACTCGAAGATTTGAGTGTGCGTGACCTTCACATCATCGATCGTTACACGGAAGAAATTACAGCCGATCATGTTCGTTTGGTGATGAAAGCGTTGAGCAAGTTACACGCACTTTCGTTTGCCTTGAAAGATCAACAGCCAGAGAAATTTAAAGAACTTTCATCGGATTTGAGTGAAGTTTTCATTCGTCGAAATGATCCATACTTAAGAGAATATTTTGTGAAAAATACAAATAGTATTGTAAATGTATTGTCTGGTGAAGAGGACGCTCATTTGGTGGCCAAAGTGAAGAAACTTTTCGAAAAACATCCAATGGATATTGCTGCTGATTGCCTTGAGGTAGAGCTAACTGGACCCGCTACTGTCATATCACATGGGGACGCATGGCAAAATAATACAATGTTCAGATATGATAAAAACGGGAAACCGATCGAAATCTGTCTCTTGGACTGGCAAATATCGCGGCATTCGTCGCCAATCATTGATATCGTTTATTACATGTTCTGTTGTACAACAAAACAGCTGAGAGACGCTCACTATGATGATTTCTTGAAAGTCTATCACGAGAGCTTGTCTACACATATTCAAAAGTACGTGGTACACATTTTCAATGATTTTTCTTCTAATTATTTGATAATAATTTTTATGTTTTTTTTTCATTTTCAAAACACCACGAATAGATTGGGCTCCGATCCGGAAAAACTATTCCCAAAACAAATGATGCAAGAACATTTCCGTAAATTTGGGAAATTCGGATTGCTTTTGGCCACAATGCTACTTCCAATGCTGACAACGGAGCAAGGGAATGGAGTCAATCTGGATGATCTTGCAGAAAGTATTGAAAAAGGCGAAACAACCGATGAAAATATTTTCATATCGGAAAAATCGCGTAATAAATTCAATGAACGTTTGCGAGATGTTGTTATTGATATGGTGCGATTGGAGTATATCTAAAAATTGTTTTCTTTTCCATTTCTCTTCAAATTTATTAATTCTTCTCTTGTTTGTTTTGTGATCAAATAAAATAGCCCAATAAGAAAGAAATATTTGCAATGCATTTGAATTTTTCTTCAAATTCCTTACACGTGCTTTGATGTGGCATCGACCTTTCCCCATATTTACTGAATTTAGACAGTTCTAAGTAATGATAACAACGTAATTGAAATTGACGGAGCGATCGTTTGATTACGATAAACTAGTTTGAAGCAAATGTTCAACACACAAGAATAATATGAGCGGAATTCATATGTTGCCAACAAATTTCATCTATCGTCTCTCTAATATTCATATACAACAATTTGCCGCTTCACGCCTGTCATTTACGCTAATGCAAACAATTGCACCACGGTCACTCGATCGCTGTACAACCGACAAACACATTGCATTTCATTACAATTATTTATGACGCAACTTTTCATTGACATGATTGATAGAACTAATGGTCATGACGACATAAATTCAATGCCAAGTTCAAATGCAACTCAGTGCAACGGGATGCATGAATAAATTGCATACATTTTGTCTAGTTGCACGTAGTATTGTTTCAACATTAGGTAGGCGACAGTTAAACAAATAGACATAAGTTTCACTCTGAGTTCCGTAATGTAAGTATCCGTAGTTCTGAAGAAAAAAAAAATTAAATTTTGTATTGTTCGTGAAAGTAAAGATTGAATTTGTAAATATTTACATTTTAAGTGAGAAGAAAAAGCGAATATTCTAACATTTTACTCGATCGAAAGGGGTAAATATGATTCAATTAGACTCATCAGAAATTCCAAGTGAAGTCATTCGTTTGGCGCTTCATGAAACCATTGAAAACCAGCTAAAATCAAAAGATTACCAAATCAATGGGATTTACAATGCGTCGAAGGTGGGAGAAACGAATTTCGTTGGGATCGTGCATCGTGTGTCGTTCAAAAAAGATGGCGAAAAAAAACATAATGAACTAATAGTCAAGGTCGCTCCGCAAAATGCCGCTCGTCGGGAGATTTTCAATTCGCGACCATTTTTTCTACGAGAAATGCGAATGTACAACGAGGTAAACCATTAAAAAAATTAAATAAGGATGTGAATTACATAGAATAGAAATGAAGTATATGTTATGACGAAACTAGTATCTTTATCATAGGTTTTGCCATTTTTTCGACATTTCCAACATTCAAAGGGTGTAGCAATTGAGGAGAATGGTTTTGTTGAATATCCAAAGTGTTATCGAACCATCGACGAGGAACCCAACGAAAGCCTTTTCTTCGAGGATTTAAGTGTTCGAAATATGGCGATCATCGACAAATTCACCAAAGAAGTTACCGTCGATCATGCACGTATGGTGATGAAAGCGTTGGGCAAGTTACACGCACTTTCGTTTGCCTTGAAAGATCAACATCCGGAAAAGTTCAAAGAATTGTCTTCAGATTTAATTGAGGTGCATCTACGCCCAGACAATGCCCACATAAGAGAACCCCTTAATAGACAATCCGAATTTGTTTTGAATTTACTAGCCGCAGAAGAAGATGCCAATGTTTTGAATAAAATGAAAACTTTATTCAAAAGAGAAGCGATTTATATCATTGGTGATTGTCTAGATTTGGAATCAGCCGGGTCCGCTTCAGTCATAATACACGGAGATGTTTGGCAGAATAATATTATGTTCAGCTGTGATAAAAGTGGAAAACCAATTGAGATGTGCTTTTTGGATTGGCAATGTTCAAAACATGTATCGCCGATCATTGACATCGTATATTTTTTGTTCTGTTCCACCACCAAAGAGCTACGAGATGTGCATTACGAACATCTTCTGAAGGTTTACTATGACAGCTTAGCTGCACACACTAGGAGGTACAACACTGATTTCCCTTATGAATGATGGCACATGTTTTCAAGTCAATTTTATATCAAGCAAAAATCGGTCTTGTTCCAAAATTTAAGTGATTGGTGAATATTTCATTATAGTAAAGGTGATGTTTCCATTTATTTCAGATTGGGTTCGGATGTGGAACAGCTCTTTCCGCATGCGTTGATGCAAAAACATTTCCGTAAATTTGGAAAATATGGCTTGATTTTGGCCATGCTCCTACTTCCAGTTATTACAGCAGACGAAATGGGAGTAATTGATTTGGATCAAAAATCAAAAGATGCGTTAAGTGGCAAACAACACGATGCAAAATCTTATATATCGGAAAAGTCACGCGTCAAACTCAATAAACGTTTACGAGACGTTGCTGTGGATATGGTGCGATTGGGATATGTCTAAGCTTTTGTAGCACTGTAATGATTTTTCTGTGTTTTCAAATATTTCTTATTTTTTGTTTTTTTTTGTGATTGATCACCATTTTCGACCATTCCTTCCTCCATGGCGCAAAATTGTGCGCTGCATTTTCCAACAGTTTATAGTTTATGTTCAAGAATCTCTCAACTCTGTTTATTTCAAATTAGTTTTTTATTGAAGAATATCAAAAAACAGCTAAAATTGGTGTAAAATATTGTCAGTGTTAAATTTCGTCCCGCTGACACTAACGTAGCTGCGCAACAGGTAAACTCTGTGGTCACGTTTGACGTTTACTTTGCCCTGTTTTTATTCTTTACAACAACAAATCATACACATTCTGTGTAGTTCGGTACACTGTACATAGAAATTCCAGATGGCGCCAGCTGTATTAAATCGCTAGTTGCGCAGCTACGGATACTAACGCCGTTAGTCTGACGGCTGTCATATATAACGTGCAAGGGAGTACGTTATATGTCACTGCTTCGGGCGTACTTTTCGAGCGTACAATTTTTTTTATTGTTTTCTTTTCCAAATGACTAAACAAATTATTTGAAAGCATCAAATTGGTTTTACATCATTTTCCCTTTAAAGTTATCGAACAAGAAGTTGTGTGTAAAAACCCAATTGCATGTCAACACAAATGAATAAACTCTCAATTAATCAACACTGTATAGTCAAGCAACAGATTGTTATTTTGTGTGAATCACTGCCATTTCAAACGTACTAACATGCAATAATTAACATTCAAAACACGTGAATTCAAGGCCATGTCTATTGACTAGATCGAGAGGAGAGTAAGTTCATCTGACTTTGTTATGAAAGAGAAGAGTAAGTTTCTTTCGACTCAAAAATGGTTAAAGGCGAGTATGTTCATTTTTGGCGGGTCCTCGCGGTTTTCCACGGTTTCCGCGGAACTGATAAGAGATAACAACTTGGTGTCTTCGGCAAAGCTGTAGCACTCGAGGTCTTCTATAACATTGCTGAAATCATTTATCTCTTATCTCTTATCAGTCCCGCGTAAAGCGCGAAAAATGATAAGGAAAAAAAAGTTCTATATAAAATTTGCTTTTTTTCGTGCGCGATTTGCGCGCAACTGATAAGAGATAAGAGATAGATGTCTTCAGCAATGTTGTAGAAGACCTCGAGTACTACAACTTTGTTCAAGACACCAAGTTGTTATCTCTTATAAGTTCCGCGAAAACCGTGAAGACCGCAGAGGCTAGACGGTACTACAACATACTCTACTTTAACGCCAACAGAATCATCAAAAAACATACTCTCCTCTTTCAAAATATATTAGAATTTTTCACATACTCTCCTCTCGATCTAGTCAATAGATGTGTGCATTTGATCTATTAGCACATCGTTTACGATATTATTTATAGGGTCAGGTAGGGTAATTCGCGCCACTTTTTTACAATTTTATATTTCCATGAAAATTTAAAAAAAATCAGGAATGTTTGGTATCATTTTGTACCTTGTCTTTTTACCTAACTTTTATAGAAGAAATGTTTTTGGTTTGATCCCCTTTGGGGTCCCATATAGCCCTTGGGGTGAAATCAAAAAATGGTGGGGTAATTCGCGCCGGTGAGGTAATTCGCGCCACCACATGGGGTAATTCGAGCCGGCCGCATTTTCAGTGTTTTAAATGTGTTTATGATCAGAAAAAGTGTTAGTATTAGATTATTACATCCTTCGCTGATGTTGTGTCAAAATTTCATGGAATTTGGACCGCTTGAAGCGAAGTTATTACGCCTAAAGTGACACTACCTTTTTTTTATTGGTCGACAGGCGAATTTGGTCCAAAATTCGAAAAAATGACTTTGCGCCGATTTTTGTTTATCTAAGAAGTAGTCCACGCATCGTCAAACTCGTGGTACCGTTGGAAAGGTAATTGATGGTGCTACAAAAATACTTAGTCAACCACCCCTTCCGACCCCATTGAGGTCTCCAAAAACACGCTAATTGCCCCTTGCGTTTGTGGTGCGAATTGCCCCACAGCATGTATTGCTGTTTGAAGCTCGATTCAGCCACAAAAATTTAAAATATTCAAAACAAATTTATATCCATAAAAAAGAGCTGGTGATAAGCTACAAAATACATCAACATATTTTTAAAAAATATTAAATTTTAATGGTCAAAGCTGAAATTCTGTGAGCTCGAAAAATGAACTCAGTACCAGCACAAAACACATTTATGCCTGTAAATTGTCTGTACTCGAATGAAAAATGTCGAGTATACCAACCAAATATGGAGTTTTTTATGCTCTTTCGAATGATACCATAACTTTTTGTATATGTATTGCCTGTGTCGAGAAAATGCCGACGGCGCGAATTACCCCACGGCGCGAATTGCCCCACCTGACCCTATAGTATAGTAGACTGCTCCAAAAAAATATTTTTTGAGATATTCAAACTCCCCGATCGGTTTTCGAAAATTGGCCTCAAAAAAATAGGTTTGGCATCAAAAAATCGAAAAACCTAGAAAAAAAACCACTTTCTCAAAATTCATCAAGTTTTTGAGTAAGGTAATATCGGAAGCCATTTTAGATCGCAACATTTCGACCTAAATCATTTTTCCAGCCAATTTTCGTCCAAAACCAGTGATGAGATTTTATTTGGCTCGTCAATATCTATAACTTTCATCAAGACATTAGCCATTAAAAACCCATTTTGGGCCAGTTACAGTGTAAAATGACCGAAAAAATGGCAATTTTTCGGCATTTTTTGCATTTGTTGATCTACCAGTCACCCAGGCGGTAGACTTTTTTCAGATTTTGACTTGCGTCGTGTAGCTACAACCTATACAAAAATTTTGGCATTTGTCAGATTGCAATTTGGATGAAATTTGGCGACAATTTATTCAGGCATAAAAGACAAATTTCAGGCCAAAATGAGCAAATCACAAACATGAGCTTCGGTTTGACAGATAAAAGCAAGCGATTTCTACCTCTACTGCCTTTGAACATCTAGTGTGATCCCTTACGAACATTTTAAGTACCTACATGACTAAATCGAGTGATGTTTTCACATATTTCTGGCCTCATATTCGATTTCAACTCTAAAAAAACTCTTTTGGCCGAAAAATCCCCAAATATAGGCTTTTTCGGGATGGTGTCTTGGCGAAAAGTTATTTTTTCTCGAAAATATGGGGAGTCTACCCAGACTTCATTGAGAACGTAAACCGTACATCGGATCACATTGCTTCAAAAGGAATTTTTATTCGTCAATGATTTCTCTTTATTTTTGTCTTTGGCAATAATTGCCTATGTAGTGTGATTGTAAAGTTATAAACAAAAATGTGTGCAAAAACAAACATTTGACAAAATAAATTATTCGAACTCGAAATTAGACACATTTTTGACACTTTTGAACAATGGATTTGATTGTCAATCGCATTTCCTGACTAAACCAAGAGGAATCCAGGATTATGAATATTTTTTAATTATTTATTGCCAAAAATCAACCAAGTACCAGTACTCCCTGGGAAAAATTAATGCATTAGAGGGTTAATGGTGAATCTGTGTGAATCTTTTGGTTTTAAATGTATGTATAAGAGTTTGTTTGAATTTGAAAAAAAGGCATGAAACATACATGAATGAATGATTGACTAATAAATTTCCCTAGCCAATGTGTCCACATATAACGAAGCAAACACAAGCGGCATTGAGTAAGCAGCAATGTACACACTCAATATTATAGCGACATCTATTATTAAAATGGCTTGTAGTAAATGCATCTATAGCATTTCCCTGTAGTCGCGATGTTTCCTATTAAATTCCCTTGTAGTACTGACACATTCATGTTTGACACTTGTTAACTACATACCACAGGGGAATTTAATAGGTAACATCGCAACTACAGTGAAATGCTATGAATGTGTTTACTACAAGCTATTTTAATAATAGATTTCGCTATAATATTGAGTGTGTAACAGCCAATTATTTTAGCTTTTTGAAACACAAAAACCATTGAATAACCTTTTTGCATGAAACTTACTTTAATATTTTTTGCGAACAAGCGAACTAACATGCGAACAAAATTGAAAATTGATTTTTCTGCGAACAATGTTCGTTTGTTTGTAGAAAAGAAAATCTACGAACAAACGACGTGGATAACTCTGTCTATACTACAAAAATAATTGTGTAAACGATGTGCTAATAGAACAAATAATATTCTACGAATGAACGAACGAAAATGCGAACATTTTCCGTTCGTGGACAGCTCTAAGTATAAATTATACATGCTTGCCGATTCATTAAGTTCGACTATATTTAACCAGCTTCAGTTAGTATCGCAAAACCATCCGAAACAGTCGGACGTTAATAATTTTGGAAGGCGATCCTAATTCTAATTTTACAAAATAAAAAGTCATCTACATCAACATTTGCATAGAAATATTTCGGAGTAAAGTGAACAAAATGGGCGAGTCAGACTTATCAATGGTTCCGAGTGAATTGATTCGAATAGCAATCTGTGAAACCATTGAAAAACAGCTAAATTCGAAAGAGTATGAAATTGAGTTTGTGAGTTCAGCGTCGAAAGCCGGAGAAAGTAATTTCGTTGGCATTGTTCATCAGGTGTCATTTACCAAAGAAGATCCAAATGAAAAGGAACGTCGCTCCGCCTCAAGATTAATCCTCAAAGTGGCACCACAAAATGGATTTTCCGCTGTGTACGGAATTTCCGTATATTTGCAAAATTACGGTTCATTTTAAATATCAAATGAGCAATGCATATGTAAGACGTTTCTTTGTTAAAAATTTTTATATTGAGAGGAGTCACAATAATTCGGCCAAAACAGCTGGTGCAGCGTCAGCTCACCAGTTTATGATAGAACAAAGCGAAACGAAATGTATTTTTATTTAGACTGCTGAAATTATAAAACTTCCAATATGACAATATGCTGATTTTCGCTTCGTTCTATCAACAAACCTGTGAGTTTTGGCCGAATTATCGCGACTCCTCTCAATATAAATACTTTGAATCAAAATATCGTCTCTGGATATTTCTGTCGCGAGAATATGCGGCGTAAGCATTTATTGGCACTTATAAATAGGTCAGTAAGAAGCAATTAGTCAGTTCAATCTCCGAAACCGAATCGATCGTTTGAATTGAAGATTTGCTCTGCTTGTCAATTTTTTCCCCTTTAAATGTCACGTCGCCGATATGTGTTCAACGATGAATTGAAAAAGAAATACCCCAGTTTCGAAAAAAGTGAATCAAATGATAGTGAGATTCGCTGCACCATTTGCAATTCTACAATCAAAATTTCTTCTGACGGAAAAACGGGAATGGAAAGACACATCGGAACAGCACGACACAAGAAGAGGCAAGAGCAACAAGTTATCAAATGACGACGTCACCTTAAATCTGAAAGAGATATTCGTCCGCACTGATGATGATTATTACAGAGAGTTCTTCAATAAACACGTCGAAGTTATATTCAAAGTATTAAAACACGAAGAAGATGCGCATTTGTTGGACGAAATGAAGAATCTTTTCGAAAAAGAGCCGATTGCGGTCGCTGTTGAATGTCTTGACTTGAATGCCACAAGATCGGCTTCAGTTATCTCACACGGAGATGCTTGGCAGAATAATGCAATGTTTAGACATGATGAAAATAGAAAATCATTTGAAATTTGCCTTTTGGACTGGCAAATATTACGTCATTCGTCCCCAGCCATTGATGTTGCCTACTTCATTTTCGGCTGTACCACAAAGGAATTGCGAGACCTTCATTACGAACAATTTTCAAACATTTATTATGATAGCTTATCCACACATATTCGAAGGTATATAACATGATACAAGGGCCTTGTAATAAAACATTTCATTGACAGATTGGATCAAACACTAAGTTTTGATTTAAAATGTTTTTTTTTATAAATTCTAGACTTGGCTCTGATCCGGACAAGTTGTTCCCATTCACGCTCATGCAGCAACATCTCCAGCAATTCGCAAAGTACGCATTAGTTCTGTGCACAGTATTACTTCTACTTTTAACAGCAGACCGAGGAAATGAGATTGACTTAGACCAAATTGCTGATAACATTGGAGATAACAAAGATACGGAGGTGTATGGTGCTTTCATTTCAGAATCGTCGTAAAGTAAATTCAATAAACGTTTGTGAGCCGTTATTATTGATATGGTACGATTGGGATATACACAGAAATTGTGAATTTGAATAGGACAACATAAGAAATTGATTGAAGAATGGCTTTACTTAAGTAATTGAAATAAGACAAAAACATCAATTGTAAACCAAACAAATTTTAATGTATAACAATAATACAGAGTTTATTGACAAATCTAGAGTATGGCGAAAATACACCAAAAAATAGTTTTACATCCTAAAAAGGTTATTTTAATGAATCGAAAATTTTAAAATCTTTTGTCTACTAACATAAAATTTGACATTTTAAAATCTACTGTCTAATAGACAGGTATATATAGAATCTGGCCGTTCACTTTTCAAATTCATGTTACAAGTTTTGGAATTGATATTAACGGTGGCGAGGCTCCCGTCCGTACACTCAGTTGTGTTTCGGCTATTTCCATCCTTCCGGAAAGAAATCACCGAGAGTTGTGGCCTTGTAGAATTTATAAACCATCAAATTCTCTGGCCAAACATCCGGCTCAATTGAATCGTCAAGATCATCTTCATGCATTGAAAATGTATCGAAATATTGGTCATCTTCCTTCTTTAGTTCAGGCAAATGTTCTTTAGTGCGGTTATTAAGATTAAAATGTGCGTCACAGTCACACTTTTGCAAGCGTTCGTCTTCACCAGAAAAAACTTTGTAATCAAATATTTTCTTCCAATCCAAATCAATCCATAAATATTTTTTCTTTTCATTTATATTTACATTTCCATACCATTTCTTCCATCGACGAAATTTTTCTATGATATTCTCTAGGATCGTATCAATATCTGAGTGATAAACAGCGATTGGTGCTTTTCTCACAATATAGTTTTTCAGTTCGTCAACAGTTGGAATTTGCATTATCTTTCCATTTACCGATTTTTTCTTAATCAAAGTCTTACATTTATGTATATAACTATGGGCATGAATTGTGGAGCTTTTTTTGGGGTATCCGTAATTGCATAAGCTGAACTTTTGATTTACATAACATTTTAAAATCGTCGGCAATGCACAAGTCGCTTTACAAAATTCAGTTCGAAGCATTAACGTATCACACGATAATCGATTGATTTGTTCAATTGGTTTAATATTATACCATTGATCACTTTCAACCAACTCGATATGTTTCGTACAAATGTTGGTCGTCAGTCTTTTAAATCTTTTAGTTTCGAATAAAATAATCAATTTTACAATGTCATCATAATCGACATCGTCCAAATAATCCAAATATGATTCCTTACTCTTTCCTTCCAATAACATTATTTTTATTTGACCGCTTTCGATCGGTTGCCAATTTTGAAATTTGGTCAGTGCTATTTGTTTGAAATGTATCAGTTTTTTGTGGTTCGATATATGAGTTATACAAAGCATGTAGTTCCAAAACCTCCATAGTTTCAGCTTCTTTTCATATTCCTCACTGTAAGTAACATCAAATAAATCCGTAGCCAAATCTAAAAGGCCTGAACAATATTGAACACGTTTTCTCGGAATATTCAGAGCTGCAATTCCAGGCACTGATTCAGTCAACTTATCAATTTCATTCGGATAGATATCGGTATGGAAGAGGATTGCATTCTTTATAGATGAATAAAAACTTGGCTCCAGTCCTGAGTCTAGCATAAATCGACACTTCAAAATTATCGATGTGCGCTCAAGAGATCGTTTTATGCACAGTTTGATGTATGGATCAACACGGTCGCATTGATTTAGAATTTGTAAAAAGAATGTGTGCAATAACGGAAACGAGCCCACAAACTCTGGATCACCAAACAATAATAGCGCGATCGTTGCGTAATTATGCAACAGAATGTTCATTTCATTTTGGGTCATTGTTGCCGGGAACTGCGTATTGCTGTCCGCATTGTATAGAATAATACCAAAGCAAGGAGCCTGATGTAATGGTGATTTGAAAACGCGATTGAATGTTTTATTGCCCATATAACTCAGTTTGATACGTTCGAGGCCAAGAAATGCATCGATGGAAATCTGTTGATTCGCCGGTGGAACTCTTCTATTCAAAACCTCCGGTGGCAAAAGCTCAAATAGTCGCATTGGACTTCTCACCACTTTGTGTCGTATTGGGGTAT